TCCTTTACATAATTTGATGTCGCTGGTATAAAATGACCAGCCTTTTAAAAATTGCTTGTTAATCTCAAATTATGCTATATTATCACCAAATCTTCAATTAAATAATTTTGTCAATTTATTTCAATTAGCACAGATTTTGTATGTCTTTTTTGAACAAACTGTACATAGGCCTAGGAAGTCGTTATTATACCCTGTGTGAGGAAAGTCAGTAAGTTTTAGTCCGTAAGTATTCCAGTGCGATAACTTTAGCACTTTCGGGAAAAAGAACAACCTCTCTACAGTCAACAATCCCTTTAAGACAATTAAAACAAAGGCAGAAGAGTGCATTCTCATGCAGTCATTTCTAATAAATGTGAGAACCTAGATGTAAGATGTATGTGTGCGCTGTTTGTGTTCTCTACAGTAGCCTTGTGTTCTGTAGACTAATTAATCTAAAAATAGTAAATGCATGCAAGCTCTCACATAATGCTAATAATACTGTCCATCCTTTAATTAATCTCTAGTTTTGATGAATATTTAAAAGCTAACTGTAAGATGCAGGACCTGTTTGCTAAATTAAAGGAACGGCTGACTTACACAGTTTATATTAGATTTAGCGAACTGACAACATCGCTCATGGATTAACTCATTGAGCAGATTCCAAAACAGTCCTGAGTAGCCTGACCCATCTGTCATGCACAAGAGGAGAGAGTATTAAAACGTGTACAAGCTTGTGTAAAACATGCTTTGTGTGGAAAATCTCTAGGTCTTTCAGTCAACTCATATGGAACTGGTATTTTTACCCCAGTGTTTTACAGGGTTACAACATTTTTAGGGAAAAAAAAGCGACAAAGCAAAATAGCCCTCATGACGGTGCGCTGAAATCCAGCTCTCTTTAAAGTTAATCTGTCAGTTTGCCATATGGGTTTATCCCTATTTGTAACAAGACAGGTGGGGGTAGAGATGAACACCAGATTTCAGATTTTGGCTAAATGGAAGGAGGTTAAGTATTTCAGGTTTTAATGTTCAATTTAAGCCAATACAAGATACAGTAAACTCAATCAACAGAATTTGTGCAATGCAACATTATTTTGACCCATTCCTCCTTTTCTTTAAAGTGTGAAATGAAATGAATGAAATTAAAATTCACTGTATTAAATGTTTGCTATTGATTTAACTCTTTAACTTGATCTTTGTATGCTGGACTTTTCCAATAATTTAGTCTGCTTAAAACGCTTTCATGATTAAAGGGGTCATATGATGCGATCTCGTTCTAACACGCACCCAAATGTCTACGTTATGATGTGTGAAGATTTGCATAATGTCGCCCAAATGTTCACGCAAAGAAAGAAGGCGTAACTTTTATTCTTGCTGTAGTATTGTTGTTGGCGCCGCCATGTAGTGAAGGCGCTGTGTTTCGTTGTGAAAGCTAAACTACTTTGGTTGGCCTTCCAAAAGAGGACGATATCTGCTTCGTCGTGCCTAGAGCTGATCCGTGCTGGTCGCTGAGGAAATACATCAACTTTGCGCTGTGGATCGCCGGATCGGCCTTCACCGTGGACCGTATACAATGCATAGAACCAAGTCCCCTCTTTACATTATTTCTGATAATTTATATCACACAGATGTAAGTCACAATACAAAAGAAATGATCTGATCATCTCTCTCTTCTTTCATTTCATCGCAACTTTAAATAAATAACAATGTTACAATTAAAGTAAGGCAGTTACCAGAGTTGCCAGGTTTTCACAACAAAACCTGCCCAATTGCTACTAAAAACTAGCCCAAAACAAGACCAAACGCATTTCGTGGGGGGTCCCCCAGTAAAAATCACGTTCGGGGGGTAAAATACACGTTTTTTGGTAGGGTTCCTCTGGTAAAAATTCACATTTTAGAGGCTAAATATTACGTTATTGGGGTCGCTTAAACCCACGGACAAGACAACCCGTGGCAACAGTGTTAAAGTAACCTAATTCCACGGAACTTGGCAACACCAGCAGTTACACCTTAGTGAAAAATAAATATACTAAATTGTATTTGACATACATTTATTTCATGCTAAGTATACTACAAATACATTTACATATTTATGTACTTAATAAAAATACCCTACAATTGTACTTTTGGTATACAAAACTGGTATACTTAAATTGGAACAACTAATTTAGTGCTTAATGCACTTTAATTGTGCAGAAGTAGTGCTGACATCCAACTAAAGATATACTGAGATATATCTGATTGTGCTAAAGTGGAGCTATTGTAAGTACAGTGGGGGAAATATTTATTTGATCCCATGCTGATTTTGTAAGTTTGCCCACTTACAAAGAAATGAAGGGTCTGTGATTTTTATGGTAGGTTTATTTTAACATATAGAGACAGAATACCAACCCAAAAATCCAGAAAAAACACATTATATAAAGGTTAGAAATTGATTTGCATTTCAGTGAGTGAAATAAGTATCTGATCCCCAAGCAAAACATGACTTAGCTCTTGGTGCAGAAACCCTTGTTGGCAAGCACAGAGGTAAGACGTTTTTTGTAGTTGGTCACCAGGTTTGCACACATCTCAGGAGGGATTTTGATCCACTCCTCTTTACAGATCCTCTCTAAATCCTTAAGGTTTCTTGGCTGTCGTTTGGCAACTCGAAGTTTCAGCTCCCTCCACAGATTTTCTATAGGATTGAGGTCTGGAGACTGGCTAGGCCACTCCATGATCTTAATGTGCTTCTTCTTGAGCCACTCCTTTGTTGCCTTGGCAGTATGTTTCGGGTCATTGTCATGCTGGAAGACACATCCATGACCCATCTTCAGTGTTCTGGCCGAGGGAAGGAGGTTCTCGTCCAAGATTTTACAGTACATAGCCCCGTCTATTTGACTCTCAATGCGGTGAAGTCATCCTGTACCCTTAGCAGAAAAACAGCCCCAAAGCATAATGTTTCCACCTCCGTGCTTGACTGTAGGGATGGTGTTCTTGGGGTCATAGTCAGCATTTCTCTCCCTCCAAACACGGCGAGTCGAGTTAATGCCAAAGAGCTCAATTTTGGTCTCATCTGACCACAGCACTTTCTCCCAAGCCTTCTCTGAATCATTTTGATGTTATTTGGCAAACTTTAAACGGGCCTGTACATGTGCCTTCTTGAGCAGGGGGACCTTGCGGGCGCTACAGGATTTCAGTTCATTGCGGCATAGTGTGTTACCAATGGTTTGCATGGTGACTGTGATCCCATCTAATACGCTCCTCCCGTGTAGTTCGGGGCTGATCGCTCAACTTTCTCATAATCATCCTTACCCCATGAGGCGAGATCTTGCACGGAGCTCCAGACCGAGGCCGATTGATGGTTGTTTTGTATTTCTTCCATTTCCGAATAATCACACCAACAGTTGTCTCCTTCTCACCAAGCTTCTTGCTGATGGTCTTGTAGTCCATTCCAGCCTTGTGCAGATCTACAATCTTGTCTCTGACATCCTTTGACAGCTCTTTGGTCTTGCCCATGGTGGTGGGAGAGGTTGGAGTGGAAGATACAGATTGTGTGGACAGGTGTCTTATACACCAAAGGAGCTGACATTAGGAGTAACTTCTTAAAGTGGCAGGACTAATCTGTGTTCCACATGGGCACATAACCAGTCTGTGGGAGCCAGAATTCTTGCTGGCTGGTAGGGGATCAAATACGTATTTCCCTCACTGAAATGCAAATCAATTTCTAACCTTTATATAATGTTTTTTTTCTGGATTTTTTGGTTGATATGCTATCTCTATCCATTAAAATAAACCTACCATAAAAATTACAGACCCTTTATTTCTTTGTAAGTGGGCAAACTTACAAAATTAGCAGGGGATCAAATAAATATTTTCCCCACTGTATACTTCAGGTACACTTTAAATATATTGCATTTAAAGACTGACATTATTCAAAGATCATACAATCATCATCATCAATAGTGAAATTAACACCAGTTTTAGGCTTTATATTAGGAATAAATTAAGTTTAATCATCATTTTTATATCAGTAAGAAATACATTTATTTTAAATATATTAACGTTTTACTAGGGAAATTAAAGTAAATGAGGCACTTTTTGGAAAATTTGCAATAAAAAGTTACTGAGAACGTCTTGGTGTTGCCTTGTTTTGTAAAACCAAACCCACTCCCAAAAATCTCCAAGGCACATCTTTATGACAGTGATTAAGATTGATATGGCATTGTGTGACAAGAAACACATTTAATATTAATATAAAAAGACTCCACACTGCCATCAATATCCTGTAGCAGAATATGACCACAATTGTATTGACTATAACCTTTCAGATGTGCAGGGGAGCTCACTGACCGTCTGATCTGCCATGAACTGACCCTGTTTAGCCTCCAGTTGAAGTAGTCTCCATCTGCTTGGGGAAGACTTACAGACCATCCTGAAAACATCCTCTGCAGGTGCACTGCACCAACTTGGCCAATAACTGACCCTTGACCGCCTAGTGAGTACAGACTACTGGATTTAATCCCCAAAAAGGCTTTAACATTCGAACTGCAGTTGATGTCTGAAGGTACCTATTTACATCTAGTGTTTACGTGAAGTGCATACATTACTGGAATGGTCAAGAGATGCTAATGGTCTTTTCATGTTCAGTTTGGCTGCAGCTGTTGTTTGGTGTCATACAGGGTTGATTCAGCAATTAGTCTAGTGTTATCGTCACTGCTGTTGCAGCTCAGATGTTAAATAAATGAGTCCCTGACGGTTAATCTTAATATTAGACACAACAACATCTAGGCAAGTCGAATCAACAATTTATGGGCTTGAAAAGGAATTCTTCACCTGAAGTGTAATCTGGGACACAAGAACAGCATTTCAGAGTGTATAGGGTATCAGGTTGCAGATCATCTCATTTTAAATATTTTAAATGTGAAACAGAAACTCTCAGAAGATACTTAATTGATGTATAATCTGATCTGTGGCTGCTAATGTTTTCAAATGGCCGCTGCCAAAAGAAAAAATAGGTATGCCAAAAAAAAAAGCAGCCTACTTACTGTTTCGGTTGGTCTTGATCTTGGCCAGAAGTTTATGAGCTAAAGGAAGGTCTCCATTCTTCACAGCCAGAAGAAGGTCCTGCTCCTTGCCCATGGCTTTCGTCCAGCTTCCAGAAAAGTGTTATAGCCTGGATTCACAATGTCATGATTCTCTCTGTTCGTTAAACTTTGGACTTGGCTTTTGGTTTACCTTATCACTTTTTGGTTTGCTTTTACACATATGGTCTATACATTTAGCACACTGAGCTTTTAATTTACGGTCCTATGCTACATAAAGTAGATGACTGCTCTTGAGCAGCGAGAATATCCTGAATGTAAGCCATCCTTACAGCCAGAAACATCACAAGGAAACCTATGGGAAAAACAGACATGCTGTATTATCATGGCTCTATACAGTCATATACACTTTAACATAATATTTGTACATAAAACGCAACTTTGCTGCTGCTGTTGTTGTTGTTTTAAGAAAACATCTCATGGCATCTTGAATCTGTATTTTTATTTACAATAAGCAACCAATCACTTCTAAGACAACCTGAGAGCACGTTTGGTTGTTATGAAAAGTACAGTAGGACGGATAATAAGACGTTGAAAATAACCCTAAGCATTAATGACAACTTTCCTGCACGGTTACCTTCCTATGTGTGATTTAATCAAATTGTAAATAAGTAATGCACTTGTCGTGTAGAGCTGTAGGATCACACTCACCAATGCGTAGTCAGGTCGATATAAGCGCTTAAAACCACTTATTCCACGAAACCGATGATGTTCAAAAAGTAAAATCCCGTTTGTGTTTTCCGTTTCTGTTCGGGATATCGCAAAAGAGCAATGCCATACTTGAACGTGTTTGACACTAACACAAGTGACCGGTGTGTGTGAGCGCGCGCGGATCAGTCACACGCCTCTCTAGTGCTCTCTCTTCCTGAAAGGTGCGCTGTGAAGACTCTTATATTCCA